CCAACTCAAAAAAAAAAAAAGAAGAGTAGCAGGTAAATTGCTCTGGAGGGGAAGATTGAAATGTGTGGTTATGGGGTGGGAGTGGAACGGAACTCGGGCAGAGGTACTGACAGGAGCACAGGCCTAGAGGCAGAAAGGCCCGGGCAGATAGGGCTGCCTCATGTGGAACAAACCAGGAATCACTTTGAAGACGAGGGGCGCTCAGGCACCTCCTGGGAGCAGGTGGACCAAGCTTCAAAGTTCTGTTTTAATCCTCACAGCAGTCCTGGGGAGGCCACTGCCTTTGCCTCCAGTTTAAGAAACCAAGAGACAGGCTCAGAGGACTGGAATCCACGCCTCAGCTTCGAGCCCAGTACTCCAAATCCCTGGCCTTCCATCCCCACACCTTCCTGGGGACAGTGGAGGCAGAGTAAGGAGGACAGGGCCTGCCTTGGCTTCTCCCCAGCTGTCAAATAGGGGCAACCAAAACCCCTTCATGATGGGCTTGTTAGAGCCCCAAGGAGATAACAAAGGGGCGTGGTTTTGCAACTGGGAAGTTTGTGCAGACAGAAGAGTAGGCATTTTTAAAACATTCTTTTAATTGTCCCTGTCCTTTGAGGGAAGCAGTTGAGGGCCAGGCAGCCAGGCCATCGGCTTTGCTGGGGGTTGAGGGGGTCCCAGGACTTGGGCAGGTGCGTGTTTGGTTGGTGGGTGTGGTTCGCGGCTGGTGACTGCCAGGGTGGATTCCAGTCCTCTGAGCCTCCACACCTGGGCCCAGAGCAGCTGGAGGCTTCACTCAGGAATAATGGCTGAAGGTTTGTGTCTGGCCAGACAGTGACTCAGCTCTGCTCTTAACGGCTTGGGAGGGTCACGGAAAAACACTGGCTGCCTCTCAGTAGGGCAGCAGCAGCCAGGGCAGAGGGGACTTGACACCATAGTAACTGCCACCTATGTGCGGGGCACTGGCTGAGGTGTATTTCTCACACTACCTTCCACCCCCAATACCATGGGTACCAGGTGCTCAGGTCTCCCCAACTCCACCTTCTAGCTGGAGACCGGGACTCAGAAAGGACAGTGACTGCCAGGGTGGGGGTCTACTGCCAGTGGAGGCTGGCTGGGCAGGAGCCGGGGCGATCTCACACTGTCTTCCTTTCACCCAGCAGCACAGGCCTGGGACCCGGGCAAGTCCTCAGGAATGAAATGGTGGCAGAAGTGAGGCAAGTCATGTGGCAAAGGAAATCCCCTGTTACAAACACACTATCGTGTACCACTGGAAGGATTTTTTTTTTTTTTTTTTTTAAAGCAGCTGCCATGTCTTCGACATGAAGGTCCCTGGTCCAACCAGGATTACACAGAGAGAAACTGTGGCTCAGGGACAGTGGGGTCTGCACGGTAGCCAGACTCAGGGAACCCCTACTTTTTGGCCTGGACGGGTTCCGCTTCATCACCTGTGCCACCAGGCTTGTCCAAGTCTGGGAAGCTGCACCGTAAGGGACCCGCTTCCAACTAAAGAAAAGGCCTCCCTCAGCTGGTCCAGGGAAGGCACTGTGGCTTCAGCACCTTGGGCACGCAGCCAAAACCCAGGAATCACCCCTCAGCCACGACCGGGAGAGAGGCTTTGCAGGCCCAGCTTAGAGCAGGCAGGTGAGCAGAACAGCACCGCCCTCCCCAAAGCCTCAAAACCTTTTGTTTTTTCTTACGATGCCTCCTCTAGGTCCCGCAGCCTATTTTCTTTAATCTGCGAAATGAGGGGGACCTGAGGCTCAAATCCAATGAAGAACCGGGAAAGACTTCTAGAACCCAGCAGTTTAAAATTCACAAGGCTCCTATTCTCCACGAGGGAGGCAGTGGCCAAAAGTATCTTTCCGGTTTGGAAGTCAGACAGACCATGAGTCCCTGAGCCTCAGTTTCCTCAACTGTAAAACGGAGGTGACGAATCTTACGCCTCACAGGGCTGCTGCGGGACTCGGGTGCGTGGAGGGCTCCGCTCAGGGCACACAATGGGAGCCAAAGTTCCCGCCGCAGCCCTGCCCGGGCTCGGGCCGCGGCTGGATCAGGGCCCCAGGTACCGGTCTCTTGCCGCCACTCGTCGGCCCCAAGCTCCACACCGCTCCCAAGCTGCCAAGGACGCAAAGTCTGAGCTGCCCATCACGGCGCCCGAGGCCCCCCGTCCCCAGCCCCT